CCCCCCCCCCCTTTTTTTTTTTTTTTTTTTTTTTTTTAGTAGTTTACATTTAACACAGTGCTGTACTGTATTTGCTTTCTCCCTCCCTCTCTCTCTCTCTGCTGCTGCTGCCTGATTATGTACTTCCGGTTCCAAATGAGGTGTGTGGTTGACTGGTCAGTTCGTAACTCTAGTGTTCGTAAATCCGAGGTTCTACTGTCTTCTCTTTTCTCTCTCTAGTTATATCTTTTTGTTTCCTATTCCAAATGCACGTTTATCACAGAAACCAAGACCAACATTCAAATTAGGACTTACTAAACTAAATCTTTGAGGAGGAATGCCACACTAAAGTTGGTGATTTTTTTTTTAAACTGGAGTCTTTAGTAGAAACACTGCCAAGAACATATGATTCATGTTTTCGAAGCCTCTCACACTTCATGGCTAAATATTCTAGAAAATGTTAACTAAAGGGACACAGCCCCACTTATAACTTTTGTCAAAAAATGTGCTCAATATGTAAAAAAAAAAAATAAGTTAAATTTATGAACATTTTAATATATTTAATGATATGCTATTAATTGTGGAAACAGGCAACATCCCCTATCAAAAAGTCCAAGAAATATTAAGAGCATTCAAAACAACGGATAAAACAAATGAAGAACTTGCTGCTTTTGATCATAGCAATTGAAAACATTCCTAACAATTATTATATGAGCACGGATTGCAAGGATTTGGTTTGATTTTTTTTACTGAAAAATCCACATTGATTATTTGCAGTTCTCAAATATATTTTTCATAGATTTTTATTATTATTAATAATGGCAGCCAAAATGGGCTATTCTATCACTTTTTGACTTCCTAATAATGGTAACATGTCCTGGAAAAAAAATCATTTTTTCTTCCTGTCACTACCCTGGCTATTTCATCCTTCTTGATGCTGATGTCAGAAGTTATCAGGCTTGTGAAATCAGCAATAAGGAAATGAGGCAGCATACCTGTTTTGCTAAAAGTAACTTGAATCCTTGCTTACATTTTTCAGCTGACAGAGACCACAAGCTCAGGAAGTCACTGCTAAAATAACAGTAGCCACTAACTCCAACTCCTCGGCCCCATAAAAAAATACTCTAAAAAGGGCATTTCCTGACCAAATAGGAGTTGGTCAACTCTTGAGTGGTGTCCAGTAGGAGCTTATTATGTGCTTTCCCACTTACACTCTCCATCTTTTTTTCATTACTCTCTCCTCCCCCAGCCATGACAAAAATAATTCTCGCTCACAATGGTATTCTTGTCCTCGCTTTCTTTTTCTTAACAATAACAGTAATAATAATAGTTGGACTATAAATAAAAGAAGTACAGCTGTAAACCACATCAGTTACTGTCGTGAGCTCTCACCTCAGAGTTGTCACGGAGTGTGGGGGGACTCAGGGCCCTGCACCCCCGGCGT